ACAGGTCAAAGGCAGGAACGAAAGAGGATGCCTTCTATTTTACTTAATTGCCTTTCCCCTTCAGCTGAAACTCTAAAGTCTATTGAACATATATACATATAAGCTGTTTGGCTTTCGGGTATAAATGCTCTTTGTCAGCTTGCAAAGAATTTTTCCAGCTATTTAAGTTGGTCTAATAAAAGATATCAGATTTACCCAAAGAACCTTGTCTGCCTATGTCCTTAAGCCAACATGGCTACAACCTGTACCCTATACCCCTATGTATATGTGTGTCTGTATATACACAATTCTTTGCAAGCTGACAAAGAGCATTTATACCCGAAAGCTCGCAAAGAAGATTGGCGGGCAGGAAGGGGAGGCGGGGTCATGGTGGCCCGCCACCGGTGGAAGAGCCAGGGGGGACTCAGGCTGAGGCTGTGTCTGGCTGATCCCAGTGCTGGAAGAGGGGGCAGGATGCGCTCAGGCTGGGCCAGGCTATGAGGCCAGGAGAGCCCAGCAGCTCCTCTAGGGCTGGAAGAAGGTGACTCCCGCCGCTGTGCATGCCACGGGGGAGCTGGGGGAGGGGGACCTGCAACACCCCCTGGGCTCCATGGTTCTGCGCCCCTGCATGAGCCACTAGGCTCTGGTGGCCCCACGACCCGGCCCAGCTGATGCCCCAGTCACAGTGAATGCAGCTGTGGCTGGGCTGGGCTGTGGGACACTCGGAGACTGGAGGCTCCTCCAGAGGTGGCGCCGGGGAACCTAGGGGGCACGTGGCCCCCCGTCTGTGCATGGGGCATGGACGGCTGCAGCTGTGGTCTCTGCTCTGCCTCTGCTCCCCACTTCGCTGCCCCTGCTTTGACAGTGGTGCAGCGACACATGAGTCTCTCCATGGCGTGGGCTGGGCCAGGCAGTGAGGCATGTGTGTGCTGCATGGGCCTGGGTGTGGGGGTGGCATGTGGCTGTGTTTGTGTCTGGGTGTGTGTAGAGTTCAGAGTGTGGCTGGGTGGGGGGGTGAGTGGGCAGCTGGGTGGGTGTGTGTGGCTGGGTGTGTGTAGCATGTGGCTGGATGGGTGTGTGTGTGTGGCTGGGTGTGTGTGGTGTGTGGCTGGGTGGGAGGGTGGCATGTGGCTGGATGTGAGTGTGAAGAGTCACTGTATGGGTGGGTGGGTGGGTATGTGTGTGGCTAACTGGGGGGAGGGGTGTGTGTATGATGTGTGGCTGGGAGTGTATGGCGTGTGGCTGGGTGTGTGTGTGTGGCATGTGGCACGTGCCTGGGTGTATGTGTGGTGTGTGGTTGAGAGGGTGTGTGGCATGTAGCTGGGTGTGTGTGTGTGGTGTATGGTTGGGTGGGTGTGTGGCATGCAGCTGTGTGGGTGGGTGTTTGTGGCTGGATGTGTGTGGGTGTGTATGTGTCAGGCATGGGAGGGCACACAGGGCCAGACACAGAGAGGGGTGGGGCGGTGGGGTTGGGGGTGGCAGGCCGGGGCGAGGAGCGCGGGGTGGTGGGTGGCGGCGCTCCATTCCCACCGCCTGCCCATCATTCTTGATGGGCACTTTGCTAGGATAGATAGATAGATAGATAGATAGATAGATAGATAGATAGATAGATACCACATCTACTTTGCTCATATTTCATTCTCTAGCTGTTTGGCTCACCATACACCCCTGCCTCTAGCAGCCTGGCGGTGACACATGGTTTCCCTCATCACAGCCAGGGTCTGTTCAAAAACTCCTTCCTGACTGTCACAACAGTAGGAGGGTGGAACAAGCTGCCAGAGAAGCTGTGGAAACTCCCTCCTTGGAGGTTTAAATAAAACAGGCTCTGCAGGCATTTCTCTGGGCCAAGGCAGGAATGGCACATTCTGTCTTTGAACCAGATAATCCTCGAGGGCCCAGCCCTGTGATTCTGTGGCTCTTTCCCAGAACTGCTCCATGGGGTCGGAGGGCAGACGAGCAGCTGTTGCCAGAGCTGATAACTACCCTGTGCCTAGATACTCAAACAGCAGCTCTTGTCAGCTGTCAGCAGGGAGGGCTTTGAGGAGGAGGAGGATAAAGTATGAGCAGCAGGAGAAAGAGATTACACAGACCCTGTTTTGCATGATGCAGTTTGTCATCAGTTTGGGATGCCTCTGAGTGCTAATCTCCTTTTTGGAATGCTTGCAAACAATGCCATATAGCATGCTCTTCCTATACCAGTTACATCTCTAACCTGAACGTGGCAAGCTACTAGAGCATGATGATCAAGTTCTTGTATAAACCAGAGAATTCATCACGTGGATTAATGTATGGTAGGATGGGAAAGGCAGGGGACATGGAAAAAGACTGACTTACATTTACAGAGCACCATAGAGCTATTCAGGCTTGCTAAGCAGAGGACATGGGCTAAACTACTGGTCCAGGTGAAATCCATGGGAGTGTTGCATTGAATTCAGCAGGCCCATGATTTCACCTGCGATGGGTAAAGCTGCATTAGAGGATTGGGGGAATTCAAAAGGTAAGGAGTGTGGTAATGAGATCAAGGGGAAAGTATTTTAGAATAGACAGTGTTATATCCTTTAATTGAGGATGGGGTTTGTTGTATAAAACATTAATTAAAAGGGACGCCCCAATCCTCTAATGCAGTGGGGAGAGATCCCACAACTTCTCTAGGAAGTCTGTCCCAGGGCTTGAACATCTTCATAGTCATAAAGTTCCTCCTAATCTCCACCCTGGATTTCCCCTGTTGCAAATTGGGAATGTTTCCTCCTAATCCTGTCCCCCTACAGCCACAGAGAAAAAGCTCATCTTCATCCTGTCTATAATCACCCTGAAGGTATTTGATGACTGCTAGCAAATCCCCCCACCTCTCAGACTTCTCTTCTGTAGAGTAAATAACACTATTTCTTTCAGCTTTTCCTCCTCAGCTATGTTTCCCGAGCCTCTAATCATTTTGTCACCCTTTTCTGGACTTGTCGTAATCTGTCTACATCTTTTTTAGAGAGTGGGGCCCAAAACTGGACACAGGACTCCAAATGATGTCTCATCGGTGTTGAACAGAGCGGAAGAATCAATTCCCTTGATTTGCAAGCAACACTCCTGTTAATACAACCCAGGAGGAGGTTGGTTTTTTTTGCCACAAAAGCACACTGTCAGCTTATGGTCCACAATAACCGCCCCAGTCCTTCACTGCAGTACTGTAGCCTAGACAATTATTCCCCAGGGTGTATTTGTGCATGCAATTATTCCACCTCAGATCAGGACTTTGCACGTGTCCTTGTTGAATTTCTGGTTTATTATGGACAATTTTTCTAATCTGTCCTAGTCATTCTGGATCCTAGTCAGAGTGTCTGTAACTGTACCCAACTTGGTGTCATCTGCAAATTTGCTAAGTGTGCATTCAATCCTATCATCAAAATCATTAATGAAGATGTTAATACCGGACCCAGGACACAACCCTGGGGAACCCCACTTGATCCCCCCTCCCAACTAGACATCACTCAGCCCGATAAGCCAGCCAGTTTTGTATCTGCTGTATAGCACTTTTTTTCTAGACTGTATTTCCTTAGCGTGTTAATGAGAATGCTGAGGGAGACGGTGTCAGAAGCCTTGCTAAAATCAAGGAATATCAAATCAACTGCTCTTTCCTCATCCACAGAGACTGTCACCTTATTATAGAAGGACATGAGTTTGGTCAGGCATAACTTCTTCTTGATGCTGGCTGTTCCTGATCACCTAGATGCTTCAAAATGTCTGCACAGCACAATTCAGGATCATACCTAGAAATCCCAGCTACCTCTGAAGAAGCTACCTTGAGTACCACAAACAGCATAGCCATATAGACGTGGCAGTCCACATTGGTTCATGACCTGTGTCGAGAAGCAAGATATAATAGCCTTGGAGAAGAATGGTATTAATGCAACTATACTACTTTTGGTTCCCAAGCTAGCTCAGACACAGATGGTTTGGATATCTATGCATGGCATTGCATTGCACCACGCTGACATGCCAGTGCCCTGAAGCAGTTACAAAATACAGCCACGTGGACCAAGGGAAGGCTCAGGAGGGAAATGAACTACAAAGGTTACAGACAGATCAGTACATTTACTTGACTGTTCAACACGTCAGTGGAAGAGGTGCTGTTGTATGGTATATTCACATCAACTGAATTTGCAGGGATGTTCTCCAGGGCATAGTTTCTCAACCTATGGTACACGTACCCCTGGGGGTATGCGAGACACAGGCAAGGGGTATGTGGGTACCCCAACACTCTCTTGTCCTCTTTTCCTCTTAAAACTATGGCAAAAAAATTGGTGCACCGTGCATTAAATTTCCCCAGTAATAACTTGGAGGGGTTCAGCCCTCCTAGCTTTGGGCAACATCACTTCTCACCCAGGTACATACTTGAGTTGTGCCCCCCGGTGTAAAAGGTGGCAACCCTACCCACACCAGATCAGACATCTGTCTTATCACGGCCTTATATACACAGCCCTTCTTCCAACATATAGCACACATTAGTCTGTAAATATAAAATCCCCTGGAAAGTTGAGTGTCGGGGTACTTAGTAAAATTTTCAGAAGTCAAGGGGTACTTGCTACTTAAAAGGTGGAGAAACACTGCTCCAGGGGATATGGTACATAGGAGAGGTGGGGGTAGGGAACGGTAGAATGATCTGTCTGTGGTTGTCTGACCTCGGTCCTCTTTCCTGCCAGGGGCAGGGGGTCGGACATGATGATCCCTTGTGCTCGCTTCTGACTCTACAATCTATGAATCTATGATCTGGGGGAAAAGACAAAGTGAAAGTGGAGCAGGAAATGTCAGAGAAGTTGGACACAGGCTTAATGGTGTGCAGAGTGAGTGAAGCAGAAAAGCAGGGGATCCTGGAAGGAGCTGGATAAAGCAAATAATCAATTATTCATTCTCTGTCGTAGAGCTAGGGCTTATATTCCCCTATCCAGTCACTTGATTGGTAAGAGGATTGACTTGCCCTCCCAACGCCTGATATGAACTACAGAGCAGGCGGCCGTTCGGCCTCATCTTACTTTCCACATTCAGCTTGGCTTGGGTCTTGTCCTCAGGAACCTCGCAGCAGTAGAAGCCCCGGTCTGCAAAGGTGATGTTCTTCACTGTCAGGCTGTGCTTTGTCCCCTCAGCCGTGATCTCTAGGTTTCCGCCCGGCTGCAGCATGATGCTGTTCCTCATCCATTTCACCGCTGAAGGCTTGGTCAGCTCCACCTCCAGAGTCACCGTGTCCAGCTCTACAACTGTTCTGGTCTCCAGTTTCTTCTTAAACAGCGCCGGTGCCTCTGGGAAAGGAAAGGAGACAAGATTAGAAGATAAGAGAATCCAGAAAACTGGCTATAAAATCAGGATGAATGGGTTGAATCTGGGGAAATAAAAATAAGGAAGGTCCTAGAAAAGGGG